GCCTCCAACCTAATAGCAATGGCTTCCAGCCTAAGAGCGATAGCCTCAATAGGTCATTTCACATATATGTCAGTAGGTCCCTTTCAGTGACCGCACAACAAGAAGGCCCCCCTGAGCACACCTGACCAGGTCACTTCAACCATGTGATCGGCAATGGCACCACCTCACCTCGATGTTGGCTGGGTGAAATCGAGGCAGATGAGGGGGATGCAAAGCAACACATTTGTTTTGATTCTACTGAGTACAGCCTAGGCTGTACTAAGATCTACTAAGATCTACTGAGTATAGCCTAGGCCCGGCCTAGGCCTTAATTACTATAGGCATCTATAGGCCCGTTGGACGTTTTAGATCGGTTGGCTTCTTCAAGGCTGCGCTCCCGCCTTTTCGCCGCTGGCCGGCGCTCCCCAAACTTCGTTCAAACCGTCCGGTGATCAGAGCCGGTTTGTTTGATCTAAAGTGCAAGTCTTTGATGGTGGCTGCAGGTCTCAGAAAAGTACCTTAGGACCTTAGTTATGATATACCTGTACCCTCCAAAGTACCTTAGGACCTTCGAACATGCGACATGACCTATAAGAACTGGTACTGTACCCAGGTTCTGTACTAATCGACTCCCCAGGGCACTGTGGTCTCCATGACGCACAACGTGACCAGCTGCTCCTTCCACGGCGGCCCCGTTCGCGTGCGACCTGATCGACCGTGGGGGGGCCCCAGCGGAGCGGAGAAGTTCATTGCTCGGTACCCCAATTCGACCCCCTTTAGATACCCCGTGTGGTGTATGCTTGTTCTAATTTGGTTGCGAAGCAATTGCAGCAGGCTCCGGACCAACATCAGTTTGATCACTTGCAGCGTGATGGATCAGTTTGGCTCGGGCCTGTCAGACAGGCTCAGGTAATCATATCCACACATTGGAGGCCCCAAAAGTGTGGCTTTTGATCCTTCAAACATGTCATGACATGTCATGACATCCGCGCGTGGGTCGTTGGTTTGGGGTTCAGCGTGGCCATATTGCCGTGACAGGAGTTCCCAAGCAGTGCCGCTGGGCGCTGGCTTGTTCGGTGTCTCCATCACTGGGCCATGGTAGCCCAGCAAGAGAGAGTGAAATAGACTTGGGAAGAGAAAGGTGCATGTAACCTAGTGCATTGTCCATTGTGGAGTAAGTTGAAATTGTTCATATAGATATTTCATCCACCCGGTTTATGGTGTGCACAGGTCGGAACGGCACATGAACGGATGTGATGAATCGATCGAATGATCGAATGCTTTAACGTGTGTTTCACCAAGCGAACCCTTTGCACGAAACACACCAGCTTTACACACCCGCTCGAGTGGAGCGCAGCGCAAGGCACGAGAGCTCCAGTCGCAAGCCCAGCCCAGGCCTGTGGCGAAGGATCCAATGTCTCCGAAACCTTCGGTCATGGTTTTCGCGCGGGGACTTGACGCCGTGGTCGCCAGATGCTGTGTGGGGGGCCATTAGTTTGTCAGATGCATCATCATACGGCTTGATTGTTTCTACCGGCAAAGGGGCATGCTGAGCGGAGTAGTGTAGACTCTCTTGATGAAGAATCACGAAAGGTAGCCCTTTAGGGGATACCTTGAGTTTGTCTTGCGAAGCAAGTGTTGGGACGTCCGGGTCTAATAATTGATCACTCAATTCAAACCCCCCCACCCCCCCCTCGAATTGATTTCTCAATACAGACCCCCCCCCCCGCCTAATCGAAACTCCCATTTGGATTGAACACCAAGAGCCTGCATGAATTTGCCGGCTTCATTCGTCAGTCAGATGCAGATCTTGAGAAATGGTCTCTCACTCCGACCCCCTGGCAAATGCAGATCACAAGGATCAAGAGCGATCAAGAGCCGTTGGGCCAGGGGGTCTCTCCGTGTACCCGTCGTCCTCCACACACAGACACACACCGTGTTTGCGCCACATGGACCATCTTGTGCCCGCCGGGGCGTTTGGGGAAAACATCGTCACAAAAAAGGTTTGGACCCTGACCCTGACCTACGCAGAAGGATGGATGAAAACGAAAGACCTTGAAACACCATGATTTTCCCAAAGACCACCACCACTCAGTTTGGGTGCCGACTGCCGATCTCCCGGCCGAGGTCAATGATCCGCCGGTGATCGACTACATCAAGCCCACGAAGATGTTCCAGGAACCCGGCCGGCGACTCTATGTCTGGGAGACCTGGCGACCTGACCTGGCTTCGCGCGAGTACCGGGTTGAAGTGGAGGATGGATGAGGATGGTGGATTGGTTTGGGAAAACCACACTGCTCCACCATGCCGCTGTGGAGGATGCTGTGTGAGAGGTTTTGGGTCAGGATCTTTTCCCGGATCATCCGTCAACGCGAAAGACGGACGTCAGACCACGACCGAGCTCCAGACGTTGCCACGGGGCTGCGTCGAAAGGATGAGCCCCTTAGAGCTTGGCGATCCGGGTGCGTTAGTGGGATACCAGGCCCGAAGGCTTTGTAGAACAGTTGGGGGGGGAAGGAGCGGTGAATAGAAACGTGAGATGGAAAATGGATTCATGGATCGTACATGTTGACTTGCTCCCCAAATAGGTTGCTTGCAACATCTTGCAACGCGCCTGGGGCTTCTTATGGGTATGGCAGGGTGCGGGGTGGATGCTGATTAAGAACCTGCACATGTGCGGACCCACCATGCCTGCAGAAAGGGGCCATGGATGGATTCCACGCCTCCAGCTACCCTGCTAGAAGAAGCTTTTCCCGACCCCCTTCGGTGATGTGGATGCTACCTTCAGTGCAACCCAGGTCTATGGTGCTCATTTCCTGCCCGAATCTGGAGTTGATTGCGCCTTCTTCGCAGATGCCAACACATCAGGCCCATCCTGAGAGCAGCGCCCCAAAATTCCCAGCCGCCTCCCGGGACAGGGTGATCGCAAGCCAGTCCCAGATGCGACTAATGGGCTGGCATGCTTGCCTATACATTGAAACATGTTGATTTCAGGGAGTGTCATGGAGCGGCAACCTTGAAAAGATCCATGTAGGAGTCGCCATGATTGCCAGTACTCATTCCAGGGAGCCACCATGTAGTTCCTACTTGCCTCAATGAAGGCAGCCTTCTTCCAGTATGTTCACTGGAGTCTTTGGGACTTCAAGGCTGTAACAGACTCCATTCGCAGAAGCCGGCGCAGCTGATTCCGAGTGGACCGTCCCAGTGGTGGTCCGATTCCGAGGTTCCATGGCATGTCGGGATGGCTTTAGGAGACCCATCCCAGATCCCCATGGAATGTGAGAAGTGGATGTGATGCACCCAACGACGCACGCAACAAAAAGAGCTCCCGTTCCTCGAACTGCTAGCGCCAGTGCCTCCTGAAAGTTCGTGACCTGTCACAGGAGTGAATCAAGGCAACTAAGAACTATTGTAACGATTACGGTTGTATAAGTGTGTTTTTCCATTATATATTCGCTGTTTGTGATCCTTTTTGGAGTCGTTTGTTGACCGTCGTCTTCTCCTGGCGACGTCGTACCAGGGAGAGATCGCGTCGTGGCCTGGGGCCCGGAGAGATCGCGTGTTGTGCGTCGATCCCAGGGCTGCAGTGGAACTGGTCAACATCTTATGGGCATAGCATGGACAAACCGGTGCCATTTTTACATGCCCCAGCATTCGTTGTTTGATGTGTTTGAAAGGTTGTGCTTGCAGTTACTTGATTCATAGCAGGATCCAAACTGCATCGAGCTTTCCTTAACATGTTCACAATGTTAACACCTGACTTTTACTGTTCTTTCTCGTTCTCTTTGATTGGCATTTTGCATGCCCCGCACTGTGCACGGGAGATTGGCTTGACCAGGTTCCAGCGCTGAATATCAACAGCAGCCTGGTGATTTGCCCTCTTCCACAAGAGCCAGCTCTGAAGGGTGGCAAATATCAGCCACTTCCTCAGTAGACTGACACTTGTTTTCACGTGAGGAATGGTCATGACCATGACCCTATGACTGATGATTTTTCGAAAGAAGCCCCCAAAACGGAAGTTGGCGTACATGCCCTTTTGGTGGGACCATCTTTGTACACATCTACGCCGCACAGCACGGTCCCGCGCCCTGCTTGATCCTGGACCCGAAAGGGCGCTGCCGAAGTCGAGAAACATGACACCACCTGGACCCTCCAAAGTATCTTCAACAATGGGACACATGTCGGACATGACCCTATTCAGAAGAAAAAGCATGAAAAAGCACACAGGCATTTTTTCATATATTTATTCGTATATACCTCTTTTCTGAGGTACGAACCAGTCGACTTCAGGCACCGAAGCGGTCTCCTTCGGGTCCCTGCTACTGCAGGACACCTTCGTTCGGTCACGATCACTTGACAACGTCGGTCGCTCAGGGTGATGATCCGTTTCCAGGCCAGCACAGGACCGCTTCAGAGAGATGGAAACAGGAGGCTCTGGCAGCACGGAGCCTCCTGAGATGGAACCCTGTGTCAGTTTGGTGTTTGGTGTTGCACCATCACGCATGGCTAAGCAAGTGGAGGCCACTCCAAAACCAAAGAACGACCCCAAGGCATTCCCAAGGCAAGCTGTTCGAATCACACCTATGACTCGACTATGACCTATCCATTGTGCTTTTGGGGGGGGTCCCCATGTCTGCCATCCCCTCTCCTTGGTCAGCCGAACTTCTGGAGGCTTCTGGCATGGTGGCACGGCCACACACCAACACTGAGCACCCGAGTTTCGAGGTGCGCGCGTCGTGTCGTTCGAAGGGGCGGCGGGTTCGACCAAACACGAAAGAGGCTGGACAATCCAAGGTATTGGAGTACCTTCGGAGGCCTTGCCTTGCATTTAATAGCGCCTCTAACCTAATAGCATCTATATCATCTATAGTGGCAATGGCCGCCTCCAACCTGATAGTGTCTAGTGGCGATGGCCTCCAACCTATAACTAAATTAGTGGTGGCCCAGAAAGACGGCGGTGGAAGCCCCAACAAGATGGACGTGACGAATGAAGGGGCCATGAAGGGACCAGTTCCATGGAGGAACGGGTGCTATCCATGGAGGATAGGAGGTGCTCCTGTCACATCCACTCACTTGGGATCTAAGAGCGGTTTTTTTTGGAACTCCTGGGAATTGTTTATGTCTTTCAACAAGCCTTCTTCACGATTGCCAAGTTGGGATCTCAGGGTTGATCAGGATCCAGGCTCAGCATGACTCAAGAAAGCACATAGCAAGGAGACTTCCCTCTTCTCTGAGAAATTGAAAGACTCTGACAGTGATGCACGGACAGAAAGACATGCTGGCAGAGGAGAGTATGCACCCCGAGCACACGATAGCAGATAGCCGATTCCATCCGATAGCCTAAAGGGCCTAAAGCAAAGTGTTCAAACCTCATCAAACTTTTGGTTGAAAGGTTTGCACATTTGTTCTCTCAACCAACCAGTCAGACCATCGTTTTACAATGTTCTACAGTACGTTCGAGGATTGCCATTCAGCTTTCGAGTCCTGGTGCCACTTCCATGGCAGGTCCTGGCGCCATTGCATGTCGCACAGCCTGGGAGCTGAGTTCCGCTCAGCACAGTCTGCCAGTGTCGAAGATGGGGATCTCGAGCCAACCAAAGTCCTGTTCTTGGCATGCCTCGAATCCGAGTGGAAGAGGAACAGATTGCAAAAGAGCCTAAAAGAGCCTATCTTCGTACCTCAGAAAATGGGCACCCATCCTGTTCCCAGAACCAATTTGACCTCCTTTTCCATATAAAGGAAAAGGACATGCAGTAGATGTATTTTGGATAGTTCCTCCAAAACAGGGGGCCCTCAGGTTCGCTTTTATGGCCCCTAGGAATCCATGAGTCGCTTCTCAGGTCAGGTTTTCTGTGTGAAGACAGTACGTTCCTGGGTCGCGTCGAACGTTCAGTACCAAACCGGGTCGGTTCGGTACGTTGGATCAGAAGGTTTCCCAGCATCCGAACCCGCCCAGGTTCCGTCCGAGCCTGGTGGGACCCCGGCGTCCCGTCTGGGGCCCTCGGCGTCCACGAAGAAGCGGATGGTTTTTCTTGAAAGCCCGGAGGGGTAGGCGGCTGGTAGAGGTAGCTAGTAGCTAACAAGTAGCTACTACTGACAGGAAGCTACTACCAACAGGATGCAGGATAGCTCACGCTTCTTCGAAGCTCCCCCCGCCGCCGTAAAGGCCATGCTAGCGCAGAAATGCTTGCCTGTTGCCTCTATCAAGCCCCCCCCACGCACAGGAAGAGCATGGTTGACCCCTGACACTTCAACACTCTTTGGATCAACCTGTTTCAGAAGAATCTCCGTCCAAGCCTCCTGGTTCCACCCTGCGCACCTGCGAGCGACGCGCGGCAACGACCCAGCTGTCCTCCACACCTTCGGTTCGCGGCTCCGTTTCTCTTGGTCGTCACGAGGTGCAAGTGATCCTGGATGGTGTCACAGCGCCTGCGGCCCAGCTGAATGGCTCCTTCACCAGCCAGGCTGGCCTAGTGAGGGGGCTTGAAGGTTCCAGAAGCTTCCGCGGCCGCTGAGAGCACGGCGGGAATGGAAGAAAAACCGTTGTGGCCGAAGTATGATCCGCTCGATTTCCCACGTGCACTCCGCAACGATGTGTTAACTTGTGTTTCAGACTCTGGTGTCATTTCATGACCCAACCGGCGAAAGACCCATACAAGAGTCCTTCTGGACAAGGACCCATAATGCCCTTTGGGCTTAGAACTGAAAGACTCTCAAGATTGCGCGCACATACTAGTAACAAGGACGCTATGCTCGGTGGAGGCCATCGAATCGCAAGTAGGTTGAAGGCCATCGCTACTAGGAACAAGAAGCTGCTAGCAACACTCTCTCTCTCTCTCTATCTCTCTCTCTCTCCCTCTCTCTGTCGGACGAAGCTCGCCGGAAGCAATTTGCATCTCACCAGGACATTTTCTGTGTGTGGCACATCTTTGATGACCGGCAGTATGACGAAGGACTGCCCACATGCATGTTATCATTTGGCACTTGCTTTGGGATGCCAATTTCAGGAGGAGGATGTGGATTTGGATCCTGGGTTGATTTGTATTTTTTGCATCATCACATGCTAACATGGACTGTGGGTGATTTTGACCCAAAGAGTGCAAAGCAATGCAACCCATTTCCAGGAGGTTCCAGAAGGGACTTGACGCACCTCAGACTGCTGATCAGCATCATACCATAATACATCATATACCATACCTGGATCTTCCAACTATGCAACACTGTTTGCCTCCTGGCTATAAACAGGCAAATATTTTGCAGAGTTGAAAGATGGTAAGGTTGCTTCAGTTATGAAGGATCTTACGAACGGCGAAGCGTTTGGGTTTTTGCTCTTTCATCTTCAACGATGGGCCCAGCTAGGGCTGGTTAATGTGTGTCCCAGTAAACTGGTAACAGTTGGTCAAATATATTTTGTCAAAGGCCTGCAACCTAACGATCATCATGCACTGTTTAGTAGTGGTTAGTTAGTGGTCGACCCAGCCGACGCCATTTTCCTCACAGGCGGCTTCTCCATCTTCACAGCACCCAGGAGCTGAGGAACATCTTCCCTTGTTGGTCTCCCCTGCAGTGGCTGCACGGGTGCTGTTTTGCACTGATGCTGAGGTCGGCCGGAGAAGCGAAGAACGGGTGAAGCCGTGGTTCTGAATGCACATGAAACCAGACGTCTGGAGTGTCTGTGGAGGGTCGGAGCCTAAGGGTCGGAGCCTAAGGGTCAAACGATCGAGGAACAAACATGAGGCCTCATAGTCCATGGGACAAACCTTCAAAGATCTTCGCTTTCTCATCGGTAGAATCGATGTTTCATGCTTCAGATGCTATGAAATCTCAAGTCTCCCAGAGCTTCAACAGGCTTACCCTATTGGGCCGGTGGACGACTGGACGGTAGACACGATGGGAGACGTCTTAAACGTCGACTGAAGGTGCTTGGTCTATCCGTATCGGAGGTTGGGTGGACCCGACACGTGCAACGTCAACTTGTCTCACCAAAAACCGTGCCGGTTCGCTGCGCTACGACTGGATCCCAGATCGGTGTACCCAGACGCGACCCGGGACCACCCAGGGTGGCATCCAGGTGACGCGTCATTGCCCTTGTGGGCAAACCATCAAGGGATGCCAAAAGGAGCAGCATTTGGTGTTCGGGAGCCTAGCAGAGTCGATCGGAAAGCCCAAGCAAAGCGCTATGAAGGAGCTCCAGTCAATGGAGGAATGAACGGTTTCACCCGATTGCCAGCATCTATCATAACCCTCATGAGGTAGCATTTGTTGATATTTGATATGTGCTGTGGCAGATGTCCATGAAACTGCAGCACAACCCTTCAGTTCTGATGTGAAGTGAACTGAAACTGAGAGAAGTGTCAACTAGGGAGTCGGCTCCACATGTTTTTTAAGTCTTGCCTCTTGCAGACAGGCAGGTTTTATGCCAGCCATTACGACTCATGCACACGCACGTCATTGCCAACACTAGTGTGGTTGCCCTTGGCAAGGAACACAACCTTGTGAGACGCGCATTGATTTTTTTGGGGGCACGCAACACACGCAGCCAACACACGCAGCCCAACGGGCATGCTGACGATCAAGCCGACCTCCACCCCAGCTTTGTATTGGACATTCTAGCGTCAAGAGCTTTACAGCCGCTCACCGGTTGTGTCAGTGTCATCTCAACCGTCCCACAAGATGCTTTGAGTTCCTCAGAGATGCACGTTCTTAAAGAGAAGCACCGAAACCTTCAGCGTCGCCGGGGTTCCCAACCCCAGGGCGCCCTGACGGGACGCGCGCAGCTGGCGAACGATCAGGACCTGTACATCACCTCTACTGCCAGAGGCCATGGAGGCACGGGCCATGCGTCTGCGACGTGACGGGGGTCGACCCTGTGGTGGCAAAGGGAATTGCTTCGGTCACGTGACCCCAAGTGTGGTTGTGGTGCGAATTCTGGAGAAGAGATTCTGAAGCATCCTAGACTTAAAGACTTAATTTACACACACTATTTACATTTTGAGAGTGAACTTGCTGCCGGGTGTTTTGCTTCAGCAGTAATCCTTTCTTTCAGGCAACAGTAGAGTCGATGGATGAAGCCTGATTCACCCATCACCCAACATATCCCCTCACATCTCTTTCAGCTATGACCACCAAAAGGACCACAAAAGGGGCCGACCATGATGGTCCACACAACACATGTCGCTCACTCTTCGTGGCGGACAGGGTCCCCCCCCATGGCAGACAAGTCCACCACACAGGTGTCTCACCGGGCCTGTGTGTCCGGCCTCCACCGGACACACCGTCCCGGCTCCCCGCTCCCCGGGCCGCTCCGCTCCCGAGGGCGCCAAGTACACCGGCAAGCTTCTCCTCTCTACGGATGCCGGCAGGCGCCCGAAGCGGCGCGCAGGGTTTCGGAGGGTGAGGCGTCCGGTGAGGCGTCCGGTGAGGTCGGTTCCAAGTCGAAGGTGTCGACAGGAGCGTGGTTGCAATCTCCCTGCCGGATCCACACCCGAGAGGCGAACGTCTGGAGAGACTATATATACCCTCTTTGGAGATCCTTGGAGGATCCAGGTCACTGTTGGATCCCTAGCTAGGGTAGACTGATCACTGAAAGCTTTCAAGAAAACCCGCCAAGCTATGGAGCTCATGGAGCTCAGTCCGTCGCCAGCAAGTCGCGTGCTGTTCGCTGTGGCCCAGGTAGCCCGAAATTGGTAGACCGATCCAATGGATCAAATTGGTGGATCCAACATTTTGCTGGGAGATACTGGGAGTGGAATCCATTTCTTGTGGATCTGGAAATCCAAGCCAAAGGGTCAGTTTGCAGGTAGTCTCAGCCATGCCTAGCTTGCCTATAGTCCAAGGTTCCTGAAATCAGTCCATAGCCGTAGCTGGCACAGTGTATGGCGCAGCATGTTACGTGATGATGGACTTGGAACTGAACTTGGCATGCGTGGCGCTGATATGAACAATATGAGAGGGATCTGAGTGTGGAACCGCAATGCCCAGCTCACGCAAGGCTCTACTATCCCATTGACTTGGACCTCAAGTGGGGCTCTCGTAAGTACTTCACCGGATTCATCGCACTCCCTGGACCGTAGAGTCCCAGGAGCATGTCGGGCATCGCTACAAGTCCGGAGCGTTCGGACGCTACGAACGGGGCTCCTGGCCTTACTACTAAGAACAAGGACGCTACTAGGAACAAGACTTTAATGTTTTGTGTATTTGAAAAACATTGCAAAAGCCCGTCACTGACACCTTTGCATCGTGTGGCTCCGTATGGCCACAGCCCTTCAACCAAAGGCCACGGTTGTGGTGAGTATAGAAGACGATTTCATGAAGTTTCGAGCACGGACATGTGGAAGTGGTAATAGAGAAATATATAGGTGTCATACGCTGTCGCATCATCTTGGATCTTTAGTAGCTGCGTAACTGCAGCAACAAACAGTTATTCTACTTGACCTGAATCGAAGGTGATGACCCATCGCATGTTGTTTGCCCTCATTCTTTTTGGAACCCCAACGAGAAGCTATGGTTTTGACCCACCCCCGGACCACCATGTTGCATCGACAGACTTGGAGGAAGAGTGGGACCGCACGCGCCACGTAGTCCCACGTAGTCCCACGTCGCCCGGCTCAGGTTTGAAGCCGACCCCTTTGCACTCCCCTTGCCCATTGGCAAGCTCTCCAAGGCCGGGAGGGTCGAATGTGGCCGTGGGAACCCGGAACCAGAAAATTTTGCCTTGTTCGGGTGCCCAACGAACGGTGTTCCTCCAATCCGTTTGGCCCATTTGGTGTGCCGGAACGAAGACACCGGCATGCACGTGACCACTGCAGATGGAAGATGATTTGTGGCCGGATCTCAGGTCTTACCAAGTCGTTAGCATGACGACCTCGGTGGTGGAGTTGCCCTCACCTGGTGGCCGGACATTAAGCCAGGTTAATATATATTATTCCTAAAACCTGAATGACCTCTACTCTATTTTGGATCACCAACCACCTTAAATTTGATCTTTTCCTATCAAAACAGACGTCAAATGGCTTCCAGGTTGCTACACTCCGAGGAAAACAAACAAGGAAGTGGAGAGAACACCACCACCTGTTCCACCTGTTTGGTCTTCGAAAGGGATCTTCGTGGTCATCCGAGTCTTCTGGGGGCTAGGAATGCCCATCCATCCGTTGGCCGTGTCGTGATGAGTTCAGAAAGTGTCGTGTCTAAATGGATGTCAATGGATTTCAATGGCACATTTGGCTGCGAGGTGTTCTTGATTCTTGATGGCACATAGCTGCTATGTCGGATCATGTCAAACATGTCATAAAAGATGCTGAATGGATTTCATGGCACATAGCCATGGCCGCAACGACATGTCATGATTCGGACGGCTCGACATGTCATGTCGGATCTTGAATAGTACATGGACCCCCGCTACTCGTACAAATTACTTATTCTCTAGGGCTCCAGTCATACCTCCTCAGGTTCGGTATGACTGGACCCGAACATGGCACGCACCCCAGTCCCACCCAACCGAAACGAAGGTACGAAACGAAGGTATGACTGGAGCCCTAGGGATAAGGATTGGACATGACGTACTCTTATTGAACATCACCTCCAGGACGAACGAACGCCGTCAGACACCGACGCTGGCCGCCTCGCATCGGCTACTCCTGCCAAACCGCCTCCCTCCATCCGTCGAACGGACCACACAACCGCGACACCGCGCGCGCGGTGTTGCTAGCTCTAGCAGGTCTTTGCTGGTGCCATCCTCGAAGTTACTGCTTTAGACGTCCAAGCGTCTGCACGCTGCCAGCCGGGGGGATCCAGCGCAACGCATGCCGACGATCGAGCTCGCGCGATCTTTTAGGTCGCGGAGGTCGCGCGAGGAGCCGGAGGTCGCGGAGCTCCAAAGCGGTGAGGGATCGTGGCGTTTAACAAAGTCGATCTCACAATACTCAAAGTCTCAGATAGTTAGATGGAGACTGGAAGTTTGCACAAGAGCCTTTGAGTCTAGGGCCCGCATCATAGGGCATCCAAACTCTTTAGGATCCTTGAATCTGGATCAACAGCCTAGAGCCATGTCACCCTGGGTTGTATGTTTGGAGCGCCTGAGAACAGGAGATCCAGCTTTTAGGCTTGTGTACGATGCCCGGATACGGATGCCCAATCCACAGAATCTTATAATATATAATAGCCGTGTCATAACTCTCCAGAACCACATATTACTTGAAATGGATCGCATTCCACATCCTTTTTTCCAGTCTTTGCCCGCGTTTTCCACCATGTCATCACTTCTTGCACCGTGTCATTTTCCAAGCCATCACTTCTTGCCAATACTGGCACTCATACGCCATATACGCACGCCCACGTATACCCCCACGAGCCACGCACGACCCCCACGAGCCCCACGAGCCACGGAGCCTCCCAGGTTCCGTGCCTATGGCAGCAACGGCCGCCTGCTCTTGGACGCTCAGCGTATCGGGGCACGCTGTGGGCCCAGCGCGGAGCCCACGAACCCGGTGCAGCTGGGCGAGGGGGGTTCGTTTGGTTGCGGATCACAGCGAGAAACGTCGAATCATAAGGTACAGATCCCCAGAAGCATGGGTAGTTGAAGGCCTCAGACACTGAATTTCACTGAAGGCCCAATGGGTTTCGCGGAGTGAAGTAGGTACCTCTTTGGTAGGATTGAGGTCTGAAGAGAGTCGAAACGGGGCCAGGAAAACCAAAACCATCCCTTGACCCATGTGAGTTCCAGTCCAGTGACATCCTCATCCATCCTCATCCATCCAACGTAATTGCCCCCGGACCGGTCCCCGCCACAGCGATCGGTCCCTTAGGCAGCATTCCTTCGGTCAATGGCTCCAACGAGACCGAGGAGGTGCGTCGATGGTGAACAAAGAACGTCGACTGCCCAACAACGACGGCAGACGAACGAAGCTAGCTTGTCTTTTCTTGGCCGCAAAGAAATTGGGCCCTTGATTGTATACTAGTTTAACATCATACACACGGAGTGTTTGGGATAGTTTCGACCTGGAGATTCCAGTTGGTACAGCTGAACCCTCCAAGAAGAGCCACGTCAGACATCACAAGACCGTGGGCCAGTTCCGGTTTCTTGGGTGCGCTCACCATGTTGTGAGCCCGGACCCTTCGACTCTGAAAACCGTTGACAGGAGATGGAGGGGATCAATGGAAGAGTCCTTAGACTGTGAGAGAGAGAGAGAGGGAGAGACTGATGTTGGGGTTAGTTCAATGATTGGTTGATCGCCGAAGCACTGAGTGCTGAGTTCTGTCAATCAAGAGTTGCCAGGTCGCAGACGCGATTCCAAATTCGTGGAATATCTTTCAGGTCATAGTGAAGCGTTTGCGATGTCTGGGTCTGGGTCAGCAAAAGACTAAGCAAACTGGAGAGGTGTAAGCACGGGCCTGGATAGATTGAGGGAAGCTAACTTATCACAGGTTCTCAGGCAATGCAGGGCTTCTGCAAACACGGAGTACGTAGATTCTAGATATGTACTTGCAACTTTTGGCCTGCTGAGAGGGTCCAAATACCTGAGGTACCATACCTGCACATACTGCAGAGCCGTGCCCAAGAATCATCGATGACTACATGACCGGACTGGAGCTTAGTCACAAGTTCTGGCCACCTACTTCAATGTGTATAATACACATGCTATGTATAGCAGCATATGTATAGCTGCAAGGTTCTTCCGAGCCTAGCGGCTTCGTCGACTGATCAGGGCTGGACCGGGTCTCTCGCAAGTTGGGTTGATTGGAGCCCTCGATCAACTGCGAGCAGAGCCCCCTCTAACCTCCCTCCAGACTCCATAGACTGGAATTGATATTGACCGCATTGACTCCGTTTTGCAGCCACGATGTAGTCATCGATTCCAACAGTGACTGGGCCCGTGTCTTCGTGGAGCTTCTTCCGAACTCAAAGGACCCAACGAGGTGTGAAAAACGGGTGTCCCCGATTGGCACCAAGCTTAAGCCGGCCTGGATGGCTATCGGTTGATTGAGAGGACATACCCCAACAGCGTATAATAATTAACATAACATACCCATTGTACCTTGCATATCTTGCATCGGCACAAACATCATTGAGTTGGTTGATCTTCGGAACGGCACAACATGTTATTTTACAAGAAAAAACATGCAATTTCGGTGTTCTCTTTTTTTTAACGAGGACGGTGTCTTTTGTTGTGACCAGCGGAAACTGGCAGAAACCAAAAAGAAATTGCATTTTTAGGCTTCCAAACGGCGTCTTTCCCCGTATTTCCCCGTCCATGGATTTTGAGCACTCGTTTGCAACCCCTGAAACGGCAATATGCGTTGAGTACGGTATGTTTTTCACTGAAACATGCCTCCACCCAAAATGTGTGCCCTTTGAAGATGCAGGGGTGTGTGTGTGTGTGTGTCTGTGTGTGTGTCCATCAAGTTTGGCCACCAGGACGTTTGGTAAATGATTCCCAAGTCAGGACATCAGGTGTCTATAAATAGCCTCTTAGAGGTTAAGGGAAGTCCAAAAAACACATAAAAACACCTAATTTTGCAAGGTCCTAGTTGGACATTCACTTTCTTTACCCGGACCCAGACCCTCTCCACACGAAAACCATCGACCCGGAACCGCATCCTCCGCCCTGCCCGGAACCGCCCAGTGCCCGAGCTGGCGGTGTCCGTGACGGAGGCTGAAACGCGGAAAGCTCCGACCGGGCAGGGACTGGTCGTTGGTCGCTTCGAAGCGATTGGGAGGGACCAATTTGGGGGAGTGTTTGACCAGGTTGTTATAGCTCGGCTCATCGCTTGAGCCGGGTGTGGATCCAAATAGCTATATAATTTCGGTTCAGGCTAGATGAGCCCATTTGTTTTCCCCACGGGATATGGTGGCCGCTCAGAGGTTTGAAGTGTCAGCGATCATGTTGGATATGAGACTGTTTGAGGCCTAAACTTCTCTAGTTCGAAGTCTGTAGCAGATTGGGACATCCGCAGTATCGACGTATCGTTTTCTCGTCACTTTTTGTGTAGCACACGAGAACTGTACTTAAACTGTATAGAGGTTGAAACTATAGGGAACTTTGATCCAGACTTCCTCATGTGGAAAAAGCGTCACCCAGAAAAAACAATAGTTTCTCATGTTGCACGATCGATACTCAGTATTTTGGAAGAGCTTTCGCCGGTGCATATCCCCAGAAACAGTGATAAGACCCCTCCAATTTGCTCCTACAGGGCAGTTGTGGAAGCAGATTGCTGTTTGCGAAGTCATTGGGATGGTAGCGATGGACCTGGTCCTTCCAATCATGTCAGAGGAAATCCACATGGCGAAGGCAACATTGGAAACAGACCATGTTCCAATTATCTTTTGTTAACGTTAGCCCAGAAGCATCCAGAAGTACTGATTCTGCTACACAGTTCTGAAACCAAACCTTCATCCCCTCCCAGGCCGACGTCACGGGGGAGGAGTTGCGCGCTGGCTTCCACGGTTTGGGGGTCCCAACGTCCACGGTGTCGGAGTCGCGGTGCCATGCGGCGAAACGGTCAGCTGACGTCAGGTCGTCTCACATCCTGCACAGACACGGAAACAAGGGGGATCAGCTGACGAGTTTCGTTGTTCGTTCTTCGCTCTTCGGAGTTTCGTTCTTCGCGGAGCTCCGAGTCTCACATCCTGCACAGACACGGAAACAAGGGGGATCAGCTGACGAGTTTCGTTGTTCGTTCTTCGCTCTTCGGAGTTTCGTTCTTCGCGGAGCTCCGACCCATTGAGGCACTTCCCGTGTACGTTGCCGCATTCCTGACAGCTTGTCCTTGGGCGTTTGGCAGGCCGTGTTTTGGACGACGTTCAATGAACCGGGCACGCGGCAAACTGGGCACGCGGGGAGGGCACGCGGGCACGCAACACACGGTGGAAGTTTTCGCCGAATGTAGTTGCAGAAGCGAAGAGAAGATGGTTTGTAGAGTCAGCTCCCACTTGAGGGATTTGCATGAAGGAGCGCATGACATGAAGAGCTCCTTCGTTGTTTAAGTGCTGAACCTGCTTTTGTTTGTTCTGTGGCAGAGAAAGAGACGGCGACATAATAAAGTCGATTGGCTCAAGCGAAGCGGTTTTGGGTCAGCAAGCCACGAGATTTTGGCCATGCTCCGCCTTCTTTTAATCGTGCTTGCTTGCGCTGAGACCCTCGCACAGGACAATGCCACGAACAAGACGGACGCAGACAGTGCTGCAACACTCACTGGTGTCACAGCGAATGGACCAGGTGATTTGAAAGCCTTCATTGCAGCGCTGATCCTCAACAGCATCATCGTGCTGGGATGTTTGATTGGCTTTACCTTCTTGCGTTTGACCTTCCCCATGGTCTACTCTCACGAGAAGGCGCGAAGCAAGGAGTCCTTGTCTGTAGCAGGTGAGGACAGCAGCGACAGCTCCACAAGCCGTTGTCGTGAGATCCGCAGTCGAATGGCCGATTGGCTTTCCTACAGCATCAGCACCAGTACTGAAACTGCAATGGAACGAGCCGGCTTGGATGTCACTGGGATGAAGTCTTTAGCTGACTAGCAGTGTATACCCTAGGCCCCGCAAAAGACTGTTTTGTTGTTTTGTTGGGGCAATGTTTATGAATTTTTATGCCAAGCTCACCATAAGCAGCACAACAAGCAAACCGTTTGGTGTCGATCTTTGCTACTTCTGCCTTTACGCTTGGTCACTGTTGAGTCACCATGATCCAGGTTTCACGCTTGGACGGGACATCCCACCATCTGAACGATCATCATCGATTTCTGGCGAAGGGGTTCCAGGGGTTCCGGTCCAGTTCTGAAAAAAGACTCCCGTCCCTCCGAGTCTTCCTCCTCACCTCCTCACCTCACCGCTTGCATCCGCTTGCCTTTTTTCATTTGACGCGGTTGGTCTGTTGAACTGGCCTAGGCAGCACTGTTGAGAGACTTCTGCACCTTGGGCGCAACCATCTGTGCTGTGATCGGCATCCCCATGTGCATTGTCATCGTTCCTATTAACTCTGTCCTCGGTGGAGCCGACGAAGGCGCGGTGTCAGACATGGCGATGTCTGGGCCAACATGAAGCTGTTCCAACATGTTCCAACGATTTGTTGGAAAGGATGACATGGCTTTTTGGGAGTCTTTTGAAAGGCACAGGCCGAGTCCCAGGGGCCCGTGGAGGGTTCCACAGGCGTTGTAGGTACCTTTGTAGGTGATATGTCACAGTTGGGTGAAGAAGCGCCAAAGCCGTTGGAGGAAAGGAACCATGATGGAGGAGATAGAATGACCAACCCTGACTTTGACCCATGCTTTTTGCGACTATGGCCTTTCAATTGACTTTCAGAGAGGGTTGACCTTTGCTTTGCAATGCTTTGCCTCTTCAGTTCTCGAGAAATCCCACCAAATTCAGTTCATTCGAGGCGACGATCATTTGAGCCTGGCAGAGATGGCGACCATCCGTGAGAATCATCCTTGGCTCTTCTATGTCCATGTGCCCCGACAGCGGAACATGGCGCGGCTGCGGCCACATCCACTGGATGTGGCCGAGTGCGCCACATCAGTGGAAACAGAACTTTAAAGTACACACTGGACCAAGAATAGGAACGATCTGAATTTTGTGGTGTAAACGCTTAGTAAAGCCGTAAAGGCTATATACAGGCTATTGGCGTCCTTTCATCGTTCTTTTTGGAAGATGGTCCTTCCCCAGGAGCGTTCTGGGGGTCCGAATCTGGGCAAGTCCAACCCAACGAAGTGTTTGACTTCCGTGGTTAACCCGCCAAAAAAAGCCAGAAGCTACTAAATATAGGAACAAAGGGCATCGCCACTAGAAGCAAGGACGCTACGAACGGGGCGCTCCTGGCCGTAATACTAGGAGCAAGGGCGCTACTAGTAAGTAACAAAAAGGAGTGATGTGCAGATCCAGATGTACCAGGACATCATGAGAAACAATATGTATGTACCGAGGGCCCGCGGTTTGATGTGTTTGATGTGGTGATTTCCACAGTTTTCACGATGTTCAATTTCGATTCACCATATTTTGTCATTGGATACTTGAAGTTTTGCACTTGAGTCAACTAGAAAGTCCTCAGGCCGTGGTGGTGTGGCTGGTGTGCATCATCGTGCATTTTGTCTTGACCCGCGCCCAGGCCACTGCCTGGGATGGATGTTGGTTTGGTTTCTGGAAGGGCAGTTCGGCAACTGACCTGCCCCGGTTTGATCCACTTTTTGACAGAAATGTCCCCAATCCAGACAACTAAATACATGGAAAAGCATTGATATGCAATTGTTTGTCCATGGTGTGTTTTCTTCTTTTTTGTGTAATTAGGCGGTAGGAATTTAAAGGAGTCCAAGACCTTGTTTCTCTAGGTTTATCAGTGCGTGTTAATGCAAAGAAGAACTTCCATTTTCGCTTGTATGGAGATGATTGATGATTGCTTGTCTTTCTCGCGCCGCAAAATAAGAAGCGCAACAGATCACAACGATCTGAGTATTGAATTCACATCTTTCTTCACCCAAACGTCCCGACCGTTGTCTCGCCGCCGGACCGGCGTGGCGGGCAAGCGCCGCCAGCGGCGAGGCCCGCTTCTTGCGCTTGCGGGTGAAGTGGTTGACCCGAATGCCGGCGCCCCGCTGCACCACCGTCTTGGTGGAGAACATCCCCTGTGCCTGGCGATCGGATGCCAGGTGAGGGCGAGGGATGGGAGGGCGTCGCTGCGTTGCGCGAAAACGCGGGCTTGCGAAGTGCGAGAATATGTGGGTTGCCTTTTTGGGCCATCCTAGTCGGATGAAGTTCTGGAATGAATCCGCAGAATGAATCTGCATGTATATATTTGACGAAGTGAATTGTGTTTAGATATTCATCCACTGCCTTCTAGTCGTCGAGATCGTGATGAAGTTAAACTCGGAGCGGGTGGCATGCCCAATCCCAGCAGATTCCTACAGGTCCGCCTAGTTGAACTTCATTGAGTAGTGTTTTTGTATCATCGTCTTCAGTAAAATGAGGTATTTGACCTGTATGGGGATGGTTCTATTCATCCTGTTGTGCTATGCACAACTGAGCACGTCAGAAGGGACGGACGATCCCCCGTGATTTGACACTATAAGGACGACATTCCATTTTTGAGTCATGATGTTCTAGAATTCGAGACGAGAATGGCCGGAAGCATGCCCATCGAACAACAGCAACAAGAACCGCCGCGGCCGCCCATCGCGTGTGCTGCATGCTGCGCCGACACCGGTCGTGTTCACGTCGACCCGAAGACGTCGAGTCGAGCGTCGAGGCTTCGGGAATTCTTTGGAAAGATCTTCTCGCCGGAGGACGTGTTGTCGTGCCACATGGTGAAGCGTGAGGAGGAGATCGCCAAATTGGTGTCCAAGCGAGAGACCTTGCAGCAAATGAAGAGGAAGGCCGAGCTGACGTATGAGAAGACCCAGCAAGTGGAGATGTTCAGACCCAGCTCTTTGATGACGGAATTTTGCGCTAAAAGCTCAACGAATTGAGCGGAATAAAGAGCCGAACCCCCCCACCATCGCTGTTTCGAGGACCAAAACATGACATCGATGATCATCGATGTTAACTGTTTGTCGAAGACGTCGACAACTAAGAAGATCCAAAAATTATAGGATCCATGATCCATGAGTGCTTTTGAACATGTTACACACCTCTTTTTTGTTGCATTCCTTCACGATTCACATGGACATTCAATTTTACCATCGAAGAACGGGTCGTCCGGTCGAAGAAGGAAACATCGACGCAAGATTTGCTTAAGGTTTCTGTGGGAAGAAGGTGGAGACCTTGGAGTATTGCAACAGCAACCTTGAGGGCTTGGACGAGGAGGGAGCGCCAAGAGGTTGCCATAATTTCAGAGCATTGGCATATATGGTGATTATTAATATATAGTGGAACATCACATCTTAATCTTAACAGCGGGGTCTATAAACCACCCAAACTGGGTTGTGCTGGAGGGGGGCCTAAGATGTTTCGATGTACCTTCGCTTGGAAACACTGCGGCGGTCTGACCTCCCCCAGAAAAGGTATTCTAGTTTTTGAACATTGCAATGTTACTGCATCCCAGACCAAGAGTCGAGTTTTCTTCGCTCCAACTTCTCCAGTCTCTCCCTTATCTCTCCCTTCATGATTCTCGGCCTTCCTCACCAGTCTCCCTGCCAGGAGATCCGTGACTTGTGGCAGAAGCACCAGGAGGAGCACGAGCGCGATCCCACGGCGCGCACCTCGCACTGCGGCTTCGTCACCTTCCAGCACCGACGCGTCGCGGAGATGGCGCAGAACTTGCAGATCTCCGCCGACCTCAAGGACCCTCCGGCGGTCGGTCCTGACGCGTGGGAGAGCCGGACAAAGAGCGGGAAAAGCTATAGGCCGGTTCCAGGCTGCAGGTGCAGGATGTTCTTGGACATGTTGTTTCTACATCTTTCTACATCGCATCCTAAGGAATTGAAAAGGCAAAAGGCACTCTTTTGAACCAAGAGTACCCAAATCCTGCATGCCTTAGACGTTTGCAGCTTAGTGCTTTGTCACCTCCGTCCTTCTTTCCTTTCCAGCCCCCCGCTGCCACCCGTGGTTTTTTGCCACGCTGCTTCGAAGCACGCGCATGCCGCGTGCTTCGCATTGCGGCGCATGCCGCCAGGAGTGGAACGTGTCGGCCGCGCCGGTGTCCCGGGACATCCGTTGGAACGACCTTCGTAAGAGTCGAAACCTCAGCAAGGGCTCTGCAGCTCAGCTTGCGTTGCAGGGGTGGGTTGGAAGAAGAGGCCAGGTGGACATGAACCATGCACGGATCATTTATAGATGGATAAGGAGTGGTGAATCGAAG